TAAATATTTTATTGTCAGTGATGAAAGAAAACTGTAATGAGAAAATTAATTCCGAAGTAATGATTGACCATTGAATTGGAATCTGTATCTCTGCATGTATACATAAAGACCTGCTCAGAACTGCAATAGAAACATAACTTCCTTTGTTTTTTTGGTCAGGCAAAGCATTGGAAAAAGCTGGTGGTAAAGAGTTCTTAGAAATGGTAAAAGAACTTCGTAAATCACAGGGTCCTTTGGAAGTCACGGAAGGTAAGATCTTTGCTAATTATGTAAAATCTATCTTAGTCACATTTTAAAAAAATACCAGCCTGTGGGATAAAATCAGTACAAAGTAAGTGGGTAATGCCTTTATTAGGACAATCAAATTAATATAAATGATGCTTAAGCATTTGAGAGAAGCATCCTTATTGGACGATCTATAAGAATAGAGTGAAAAAGGATTGCATGCAGAAAAAAATTAAACTTGATATTTGAACATCTTCAGTTTCAATTTGGTCCTCAGGTAGTGGCAGTAAGGTCATTGATCATTTAAGCAAGGAAAAGGAAAGTTTAATTCTCTCCCATATATACATATATAAAAACAAATGACGGTCCATCCATTAGCATAGGGGTCCCCATACCTGGACCGCAGACCACTACTGGACTGCAGCCTGTTCAGAACCGGGCTGCTCAGTTAGCGTGCACATGTGCGAAGGTCCCCTCACACAAGTGGCAGCCACTTTTGCTCACGTGCAAAGTTCACACAAATGGACCTGTGCGAGCTCTCGCACGCAAGCATGCCATTTGCAAGGAACTATTCCCTCCTCTCCTCCTCCTCCCCCCCCCCCCGGTCACCAAGCCAGAATGGTTGGGGAGCCCTACATTAGCATATAGGCTACTTCACCTGGCAGAATTGAAAGGTCAGAGCCCTTATATAAACAATGATGGAGTAATTTTGCTTGATGGCTAGGATAAAATCAATTAAGCCAATTTATATTTATGTTATAGTTCCTCCTTTCCCACTTTGAAAAGCATGAAGACAAGGCTTAAAAAAATCTGCACCCTGATTTATATATGGGGGCCTCTATCCTGGAAGTACAAGAAGTGACAACCTTTACTCCTAATTCTGAAACTGCAGAATTCTCATTTCTACTTTCGGGACAATAGTTGTCCCAGTTCCAAAGTGAGCACCAAAAGTAGAAATGAAGCCGAATCAGCAACCTTTGCCTTGTTGATCTTTCATGCAGCAGTGTGCACAACCACCTGTACATTAACTTACCACAAGCTGTATTGGCTCTTAAATCACATTACACCCACTGCACAAGCTGCACTGACTCCCAGCTGCAATTCAAGATGCTGTTTATCATCTTTAAAACCCTACATGGCCAGGACCAGATTATTTGCTGGACTACATCTCCATGAATGTCAGCCCATCTCAGCAGATTGAATAAGGCAGGCCCATTCCAGGTCTCTGCCTTTAAATGTTGCCTTCTTGAGGGACCTGGAGAGTGTGCCTTTTCCATTTCAGCCCTTATCCTATGGAGTTCCAGCAAGTTCCTACCCTTTTAACTTTCTGGGAAGTAAGAGCCAGTTTCCCCCCCCCCCCCCAAAAAAAAGGATTGGGATGGCATAAGGTTGGAGCCAGAAGAAAATGTTGTGGGGAAAAGTTGCTTATAGTATATTACTAGGTTTTTCTGTTTAATTGGGGGGTTATTGTTTTATTATTTTATTGCTTATATCAGGGGTCCTCAACCTTGGCAACTTATATATAGTTTTATTCTTTGGTTGTGAGCCACTCAGAGTTTGGTTTTAAGATGTGGGGCCATCCAAATGTTTTAAATAAATAAAAATGTTCCTGATGAGAAAAAGTCAGTGCAGGATGGGGAATTGAATGGCAAAGGGTCCATCTCTATCTTTTAAGCTTTGCTAGAAAAGTAATAGTGATATTTAAAAGGTGAGCCTTCTTGCTTCATCTTTTCAGCCATATTTCCTTACCAGATTTCTCAATGCCTTTGACAGTGACAGTATTTCTAATGTGCTACCTTTCCTGGAAAAGTTGGATATATTCAGAGGTGGAATAGCCCATGTTGAACAGGAGAGCACAAACCTCAGCACAGGAAATGTTTTATGACATTTTCTATTATGTCATAAATAATTTTGTGATCATTTTAATGTCATAAAAGGTTTTATAAAATTTGTCAATTTTCCGTGGGTTAAGGTTAGGGAGTGATGTGTCCCAGATTTTGGATGCATTCTGTAAGTTAGCCTATTTGAGGTACCTTGGTTTGAAAACTGTTGCACTGTGATGCCCAATTAAGGGTTATGGGAAAGACAGATATAGTAGTATATAAACTGTATAGCTCTGCCTGAGGTAATAGACCCATTTTCCCCCTTCAGCTGCTCTCAGCCAGGCCACTGGTCTAGCAGCAAAATTTGTCATTCACTGTCACATCCCACAATGGGGTTCAGACAAATGTGAAGAACAATTGGAGGAGACAATAAAGAACTGTTTAACTGCTGCTGAAGATAAGAAGCTGAAGTCTGTGGCTTTTCCACCTTTTCCCAGTGGCAGGTAATTACTATTTAAATGTCTTAATAGAATTAGTACATTCCTTTTGTGATACATTTAACAAAAAAGCTGGTAACATCTGGTCTTATAACATCTAGTTGAAAATATATATCTCAGTCTAGTATGGTCTTGTATGTGGTATTTAAAAAACAACCTTCAGAGGTTTTTCAGGGAAGAACTATGATGCAAACTGTAGATGTTCTCTATCGGTATACGTTTGTTGGCACTCATTAAAACGCTACTTAACATTTTGTGACATATTTAAGGAAATAGCTGGTAGGTTTGCCAGTATCTCTTTCATACACTGAAAAATTCCTATACTGCATGATATATAGATATTTAGGTGATTTTTTTTCAGTTGCCATAACAACTGCTAAATTTTGTTTCATGTTCCATCTGATATTTGGGGCCCGATAGGCTGATATAGAAGTATTTTATGGAAATTCCTTTGATCACCTTATTTTGATTGCATCTGCATTTCCGAAATGGTGGTTCAGCAGTTAAAAGACGCTGAGCTTGTCAGCTGGAAAACTGTCAGCCCGTGTTCAAGACTCGAGTGCCTCGCAATGGGGCAAACTCCTGTTACTTGCCCCATCTCCTATCCACCTAGCAGTTCGAAAGCATGCAAATACAAGTAGATAAATAGGTACCACTTTGGTGGGAAGGTAACTGCGTTCCGTGCACCTCAGCATATAGTCATGCTGGCCACATGACCAAATAACTCCCTTTGGACAACATTGGCTCCCTCGGCTAAGAAACGGAGATGAGCATCACCCTTTAGAGTCAGATATGACTGGAAAGGGGAAACCTTTACCTTTATCACATACCAGTAATTACTTTGATCTACTTGTTCTAAACTCAGCTTTTCGTTTTCCCACCTTGTATTTGACTGGATTATTTGCCAGCATTTTTTCCCAACATATCCTCTGCTTTTTACCAGTCATTTCACACTAACATCTTTCTTTTGAGTGCTGTTACATTTGGATGGCCTGAAACTTGGTCTTAAATTATCTACCTAGAGGGATGAATCTGTACATTACTTGGCATTGAGCCCAGTAAACATTTGTGGAAACCCAGGGTGAGTACTCCAAATAAGATTCAGCTTATTAGTTACTTACAATATATAACAATTATATATTGTTATAATGTTTAAGACTAACATTTTGCTACTGAGCATTAATTACAAACTTTCCTTCTTTGTTTAGAAATTGTTTTCCAAAACAGACTGCAGCCCAGGTGACTCTGAAAGCCATTTCTTCCCATTTTGATGACTCCAGTCCTTCTTCCTTGAAGAACATTTACTTCCTGCTTTTTGATAGTGAGAGCATTGGCATCTATGTGCAAGAGATGGCAAAGCTAGATGCAAAGTAGTAACAGAAGCCAAATGAAAATTTATTTTTCAACATGAATATGAGTAGGAATGGGAATTAGAAGTGGGTTTTATTTTTAAAATATTGTGAGGACGGAATACGTGAGTAGCTTTAAAGTTTTGTGATGGGTGGAGGGCTTTTGTTATTGAGGGAGAAAGGGGGGAATTGTTTCAGAGAGTTTGAGCTGCAGATATAACATGCTTTAGGCCCTCTACATTTTGTATCTTCCCCAAGAAATTATTTTCCCAATTCTCTACATTTTAATGTCTCAAGTTATTTTAGTTTAGACCTTTTTAAAAAAAAAATAATCTCATTATAGAGTAGCAAACAATTCAATGCATCCATCAATTGAAAAATGTGGATTGTTTGCGTCCCTTTATTTTCCCACTGGTAGTTAGAAATCTTTATGTTGTGTCTATGTTCCATGATGGAGAAGATAATTTTGATTCACTTGGTGCTTTACTGTTTTATCCCAGAATGACCTGTAATTGCTAAAAAATATTTCATCTTATTTGTTTTGATAAAAAAATAGCATCATGCTTTTTTAAAACTTTAACCTTGAGCGTATTATTCTTGTTCATTTCCATAAAAAGTTAAAGTGGCTTTAGAAGTAAGAAGTTTCTTGAAAGAAAAGAAGACAATTCTGTTAATATTCTCAAATTCAACATTGCAATTAGTATTTGCCAAAGGAAGAGGGAGAGCTCTGCAAGGCTGGCTTTGGTTTCTTCAACTTTACTAATACAAGCAAATATTAGAGAATCTGGCATGAATAAATGATGGAGAGGGAGGGAGGGAAGGAAGGAAGGGAAGGGAAGGAAGGACAATTAAATACTATTTTACAAACTACTGCTTCAGCACAGAGAGCCCCCTTAATAGTATATTCAATGCTAGTTACAGTTCTTCTTTTTTCAAAACCTTACCAGGGTACTGGTATTTCCCCCCCCCCATTACTCCATTCCCATAAGCATTTGAATTAAAGTGCTAAAGAACATTTAAGAGTGCTTATGCAGACTATAGCACACCCAACATGTGTGCACTGTGTAGATATATCTGGAATTGAAAAAAATTGAGCCTAAGCCTTGTTTTGAGTTCTACAATTGCATGATAATCAATTCTTCCATTCAAACTTTAATTCAGATCAATTTTACAATATCCATGTTAGCTGATCAACTACAAACCAACTCCAAAGTCTAATGTGAAATACAGTTTCTGCCAAGATCTACTATCTAGGTTTTTTGCTTAGTTTCTTAAAGACAATTATGATTTAATGCTAGCAAACTAAGCATTACTAATTCATTACAGGTACCATCAGTTCTGTTTTTGTTTATGGCAGTTCCATTTCTAGCATGGCATCTGCTGATGCATCTTCTTCCAACTTTTTGAGATGAAAAGATCTTTACTTTTGAGGACAGTCACTAAGAGATGTCCTACATAGTATTCACTGATTTGTCCTACTCCATCATTATTTCCCAGAGAAATCAGGAAGGTAAGTGATCCTAAAAAAGAAACAAAATTGTTATCTGACTTGGCATTTGAACTTGCCAGAGTACGTTTGGCTATGGTAACTCAATTTCTATCATTCTTGTATGGATTTCTTTAAAAAAAAAATTAGACTTGCTTAATACTTTTCAGGAGATTGCCAAGACATCAGGCTGAAGTATCAACAGTACTTATATAAACTGTAGTATTTTTATTATTTTAATTTTCTCTTTAGAACAGTGGTTCTCAACCTTTCTAATGCCGTGACCCCATAATACAGTTCCCCATGTTGTGGTGACCCCCAACCACTTATATCACCGGGTGCCAGGGGCGTGTCCAAAGAAAAGGGGGAAAAAATGGCGGACAGCCTTGTTTGGTGACCCCCATGAAATGGTCGTTCGACCCCAAATGGGGTCCCGACCCACAGGTTGAGAACCACTGCTTTAGAATCTTAAGAGGTTTTTTCGGGGGTGGTGTTGCTTTTTTTAAAAAAAAGTCTACTAGATACTATCTATAATTGAGTATTTTAGTAAATAGCAATGCTGTTCTATAGATACTGAGTAAAACACTGTAGCAATAGCAACAGCACTTAGACTTATATAGCACTTCCACAGTGATTTACAGCCCTCTAAGTGGTTTACAGAGTCAGATATTTGCCCCCAACAATCCGGGCCCTCATTTTACGAATCTCAGAAGGCTGGAAGATTGAGTTCACCTTGACAGGTCAGGATCGAACTCCTGGAGTGAGCAGTAAGTAGCGTGCAGTGCTGCATTCTAACCATTGAGCCACCACGGCTCTTACAGAGTACGAGCAGTATAACTAGCTATGCCAACAACTGATTTATGTATTGATTCATTATTCTATTTTCCTATACAAAAATCCATCCTGATTAAGAAACTGATTAAAAAAATATTGTATCAAACAGCAGCACAAGAGTATACCAGATCTAATTATCTCTCTGCAATGCTAGCTTCAAAACACCGTTAGAATTAGATGCAAGGAAATGCTTGTGTTGCACGTGCACTTCGGAAAGGCACAAAAGATGTAATTCATAGTCTCACCTGGTTTATAGGTTTTCAGAGGCTTTTGAGTCAGGCTGTTGATAATATTGGTCACTACAACGTTTGCATGGAGTTGAGCATGATATGCCATCTTTGGTTCTTTCACATCTGAGCAGTCACCAATAGCATAGATATTATCATAGCCCACAACTTGAAGATATTCATTCACTTTCAAAGCACCATTATTTGCCAGCTGGTCTCCTAAGCATGGACACAAGAAAATCATCTATGAATGTCAAATGTTAGCAAAAGGCTATATGTATTGATATTGTATGTGTCATCATTCTTTTGATTTTTTAGTATGAAAAAAACTATTTGTATTCCAAACAAGATGAAATGTGAGATACACATAAAATAGGTAGAGGTTTTATGTTTGCCTACTTTATTCAATGGAAGTCTCAATTTTGAAAAATGGGCTGGATCTTTATACAATTACAGCAAATCTATTTAAACAAAGATCACTATGCTTTTTCTATACCCTAACATTTTACATACATATATACATACATACATACATACATACTAAAATAATGATCACCAAGAGAAATTTAAGAAATAAAAGTTTAATCAACCAAGCTTTCGTCAAATACACTTGACATCATCAGGGGTAAAAGGCAGATGCTGAAAGAAATCTTACATATAGTTGTTAAATGCCTATCTCTGGTTTACAGAGTGCTTTGTTGGATCCAGTTGGTCAGGCTGCATTTTAAGTGCACTTCTTAAGTTACTGTATATTCCTTTCTTTTGTTTGAGTCCCTTATACGTTGTTTTATCTGCTGGTTCAGAGATAGGTGGGTTTAGGTTGGAGGTACTCTCCCCTCTCCTGTATCCAGTTTCTCTATTGTCCTGCGTATGGCTTTCTCTGATGGGTGGGGGGGTGTTTGATTTACTTTTCGTGCTCCTGTGATTTTGAGAACACCCAAATCTTAGCTAATGATGCTACAAAGGGAGGCCATTTACTGAAAGAAGCATGGTTCTCAGGAACAGATTCGATCAACCGACATGTGGACCTATGCTCAGCACACCAGGCTCTAAGAACTTTAAACGCTAGCTGCCAGTCCAACTTCCAAAGGAGACTCAGTTGTAAACCATATAACCGTGATAAGGACAACCCCCTGACCCCCCACTCCTCTCCACTTGATCATATGAACGGAACTCTAAGTGACAGCTCCCCACCAACAAACACACAACTACCATTTAGCCATCAACACATCAATCATAACGAACAGTCTTTGCATGACTCCCTACAACACCCTGTAGGTGGACTCCCTTTAGAACAGAAAGATAGTATGCAAAGCAATGGTATAAGACTCATGAAATTGCAGAACGAACAAAACGTAGTAAAATCTGAAAGTGGTTACGATGAGGAGCCTCCTTCCAGTTGCTCTGTGGAACACGAGATGACAACCCGATCAAAATCGAATAAAAAGAAACTACTCCTCCCCCCATGCATTCAACACGAGGACAATAGGTTGAACAGCAATTGCAGCCAAGACAGGAGAGCCCCATAAGAGACGAAGGTGAAAAATCTGGAACAAATAAAAACAACACTCACTGGCCGCAGACTGAGCAGCTGGGTGCTGTCAATGAGATCGTAACAGATGACACTCTGGGCATGCGCGAGTGAAGCGACGTCGGACAGAACAACAGACCATTAAGGACGACACTTAAGAGAGAAGATAAGAGGAAGAATAACATGAAATGGGAGGAGGAATCTACACCATGGCTCAAAGAGATAAATAAACAAAAGCAAAACAGACCCAAAACCCACAGGAGCACGAAAAGTAAATCAAACACCCCCCCCCACCCATCAGAGAAAGCCATACGCAGGACGATAGAGAAACTGGATACAGGAGAGGGGAGAGTACCTCCAACCTAAACCCACCTATCTCCGAACCAGCAGATAAAACAACGTATAAGGGACTCAAACAAAAGAAAGGAATATACAGTAACTTAAGAAGTGCACTTAAAACGCAGCCTGACCACAAGTGTATTTGACGAAAGCTTGGTTGATTAAATTTTTATTTCTTAAATTTCTCTTGGTGATCATTATTTTAATTAATATATATATTGGAAGTGTCTTGGCGACATTTCGACGAAGTCCCATGCATCATCTTCAGGCTGGTGTTTTCAGCTTCGTGCTTCGAGCAGCAATGTGTGGTCTTAGCTGTTTCTTCCTTTTAATTGCCAGTGGGGGTATGAACTGATTGGGTGGGAGCTTGGCTGTGTTCTGATTGGGTGGAGGTGTGTTCTGATTGGTTAGGGGCTTGGCTGTGCTCTGATTGGCTGGGGGGTTGGCTGTGCTCTGATTGGCTGGGGGAGTGTTCTGTTTGGTTGTGCTCAGGTTAGTCTGAGTTGCAGGGGGGTTTAAGATTTTGGGCTGCCTTGCTATTTTTTGGCTTCGCATTCGTGGTCGTGCCTCATCTTCATGGAAGGTGTCAGTTTGCTTCATGTATGGATTGGAGGGGTTTAAAGTGGCTAATGATGCAGCTGTGGTCTGGCTTCTGGTTTGTGGTCATGCCTCATCATCGAGGTGGCTTTGGGTTTGCTTTTTGCGTGGATGTGTGGTGTGACATCCTGTGTGGTTTTTGTGAGTGTGGGTCCGGTATCATTTTTTGTGTTAGGGAGTCGTTTGTCAATAAGGGCGGGTTTCCAAATGGCTGGTAGGCGGGAGGTATCCTCTCGCTTGTTCATGCTGTGTGGGCGTTTTTCTATCTCAATGGCTTCTCTGATTATTCTGTTATTAAAATGTTCACTTTTGGCAATGGTTCTGGTATTTTTAAAATCAATTTCATGTCCTGTGGCTTTAAGGTGTTGGACCAGGGAAGATGTTAGTTCCTCTTTTTTGACTGAGTTCTTATGTTCTTCAATGCGTGCACTTATTCTTCTGTTGTGCACGCATTGATCGGCTCAAGTAAATGCTTTTATTTATTTGTATCCCACCTTTTACTATTTTTACAAATAACTCAAGGCAGCAAACATATCCAACACACCTTCCTCCTCTTTTCTCTACAACAACAACCCTGTAATGTGGATTGGGCTGAGAGAGAATGACTGGCCCAAGTCAGCAGGCTGACTAAAGAGGGACCTGTGAATAATCTTCCAAATATTCATTTAAAAAGATTACAGTATTAAAATTAAAGATAGTCAATCATTTAAAAAAATTACTGAAAGAATGACAAAGAATAACAACTAGGGTTTGAAATAGAATGTGGAACCTGCAATAATTAAGTATTTGTGGACAGAATAAGGGTAGGGGGGAAATTAACTTACTGAATGCACTGCCATATGCTGAAGAGTTTATTTTTATTCCAGTGCACAGAATCACCAGATCAGCAGTAACCTCAGTACCTTTATCAGTCTCCACCATCATGTTCTCCTTGAATTGGTTTAAGGTCAGCATATGGAGATTAGAAACTTTCTGACCTATTAAGAGAAGCAAAAACAAGACATTGCATTTCACTGAATTTTGAAAGTATAATAACTACTTTGGCTTTAAGGTACCTACTTAAGAGCATGTTGATTAATTTTAATTAAAAATATCCAGCTTTCTATCCTTTAATGCTATCTGTCTCTCCTGATGATAAAGCAAAGCAATTTGTTTCTCTTCACGCATGCAAAATATAATAAGCAGCTCTAGCTGAGGCAATTGAAATTAAAGCAGTAGATTAGATTATCCTGTTAGGATGGGAAAAGGAGATGGCAAGGCGTTGTCAAATTAGGAGTTCTATTGGTCTTATATGAAGCAAGAAAAAAGGTAATTAGTGATCCCTAAAAAACTGAAAAAGGATTGGATTCAAAGCTTTTTCGTTTTTTAGGGATCACCTATTACCTTTTTTCTTGCTTCGTATAAGACAAATAGAACTAATTTGACAATGCCTTGCCATCTCCTTTTCCCATCCTAACAGGATAATCTAATCCACTGCTTTAATTTCAATTGCCTCAGCTAGAGTTGCTTGTTATATTTTGCATGCATGAAGAGAAACAAAATTGCTTTGCTTTATAATATATACCATAGGTAGTACTCAACTTACAACCACAATTGAACCCAAAACCTCTGTTGCTAAGCAAGGCAGTTGTTATGCAAGTTTTGCCCCATTTTATAAACTTTCTGGCCGCAGTTGTTAACATGAATCACTGCAATTAAGTTAGCCACATGGTTGTTAAGTGAATCTGGCTTCCCCACTTACTTGGCTTGTCAGAAGATCACAAAATATGATCATGTGGCCCCGGACACTGCAATCAACATGAATGCATGCCAATTGCCAAACATCTGAATTTTGATCACGTGACCGTGGGAATGCTGCAACAGTCATAAGTGTGAAAAACGGTCATAAGTCCCTTTTTATAATTCTGTTGTAACTTTGAATGTTTACTAAGCAAACTATTGTAAGTTGAGGATTACCTGTACAACCCCATCCCCTATTTGATCTTCCTGATGTATCATCAAAGGCAGAAGAGAGGGGATAAATGTCATGAAATTGGAGAAAAGGGAAAACGACTCAATTCTATGGCCCTTATAACTTTCAATACTTCACCTAGAAAAAAAAATAAGGAAAAGGCTGTTTACTAGGACATCTAACGACTATAGCTATCAAAATTCAACAGGGAAAAGGTATTCAGAACATGTGCAAGCATGCACATCATAGCTGTTGCCACTCCTTAAAGAACTTTTATCTCTTCTTGTGCTCCCACAATCTGTGAAATGGAACTGCCAACTCAAATGCTTACCTGTTGAAACCTGAATCACCACAGATCTTTAACATGTAAAATGTACAGACCAGCTTTAAAGAGATACTTTTCATCATGCAGAAAAGAAAGCATTACATGCCTCAATTTGAAGATGGAGCTATAAGTCTATAAATTTACAAATCTATAAAATGTACAGCAGCAAAACCTATGCCCCTTTTCCAAGTATCGCTCTCGTGCATTTTAACAAAGAAACTAAACACACTACACTTGTTACATTTTAAGTGTACCTTATTTTGAACTTATCATACCCAAATGCAACAGGTCTTAGTTGGTCTAGAAACATCTAGAGCTGAGGTGGACAATAACCTGCAAGCTGTATTGTTTGTATGACACATGTCTTTTTAGTTACTCTAGGCTCAAAGCATTTATTTTCTTTCTACTTTCACCAAGGTCTTAAAAATAGAATTTTTAAAAGGTCAAATAAATCTGCCTCTGATCTCTGGTAATCTGTCAGGGATATGTTATTTGAGTCCCACAGAGACCAAATACAGTACATATCCCTTTAAATGCACAGCAAAAAACAGAGCCTCCAGTGACAGGCAACCTTACTGTAGGTTGCCTGTCACTGGAAAAAAACACCTTTAGGGTTTAGCGATCTTGAAAAAAAATGTTCGACCAATAACAGAACTCAGTACCCAACAAGAGATGCACTCCCTCCTGTGTAAGAGTCTCCTTCACTTCTTCCCTGACTCTGGGAAGGAGTCCGCCATCTGCCAGTGCCATTTTTGAATGAATAAGTGTGACCTGAGAACATAAATATTAATATACTCAGTTGATGAAAGTTATTTAGCAAACATCCATTGCCATATTGCAAGAGCATTATAGATTAGGAGTGTCCGACCTTGGCAACTTTAAAATTTGTGGATTTCAACTCCCAGAATTCCCCAGCCAGCCATGTAGATACTTGTTTTTGCCACTGAAAGTTCTGCAACATTTTGGTGAAGAGATGAAGCTTAAATGTTACAGGCTAGAAATTCTAATACTGTAGTAAAAAAGACAATGGATTGCACTTTTCTGCCTTACATGAGAAGCTGTACTCGGATTCCTTTATAACTCAGTTGTAAGGACCCACCCCACTTTGCATCTTAAGAAGACAGAACTCTTGGAATAATTCTTCCAACAGGAATCCTTTATTAAGAAAAAGTGGTTGCAGGCGTGCTAGACAGGACTTGGGCTCCAAGCTCTCCAATTCAAGGTTTTAAGGGTTTCTCCAGTAGCCCCACCCAATCAACCCCCTCTTTCAGCGACAGTCTCAGGCATTACACTTCCACCCCCCTTTTCATTACTGCTCGGCTGGATGGAGACTTCAAAGAACTACATGAAAGGAAAACGTCCCCATTCTTATGGTTAGTTCTTTTGCAATACACACATTCAGTTCCTTAGAAGTATACTGAAGGAAGTGAGGGCCATAAAGCCCCCTTTGTTCTCCCCCTTCTCTCCCTCTTATGGCAGAATCCAGAGAAGGCAGAATTGGGGTTTTCTATATTTGATAACTGGAGATGTTATTAACTGGCTCCATTGTTTTCCTCGGCGGTGTCTCTTCAATATGTCGATCTCTGCTTCCTCTGCCAAGACGTACCATTCCTCAAGTTGGTGTGGGTCCCCTCGGGGCAGGCAAGCGTCATATAGATCATAGTTTAGTCCGTCTTTGAAATGGCTAAGGAGGATGTCTTCTGGCCAATTCAGTTTGCTGGCAATGGCCCGGAATTCTTGTGTATATTCAGCCACCGGGCGTTTACCTTGCCTCATCATTTTTATCCTTTCACGGGCTTTGCAATCAGCCAGGGGGTCTTCAAATCGTCTTCTCAGAGAGGACATGAAATGGTTGAAGTTACTGAGTTCTGGGGCATTGGAGTCATGCAAGTTCACCACCCAATCTGCAGCCGGTCCATCCAGGGCAGATTGCACGATCAGGATGCGGGCTTTGTCGCTGGGAATGTCCTGCCCGTATTCCTCCATGTAGCTGAGGACTTGGGTTAGGAAAAACCCCAAGCGTGTTGGCTCCCCTTTGAATTTCACCTCCAACGGTGGACGTCTTGGAATGGATCGGTGCCTCCGTTGTTGTTGGTAGTGTCTTCTGTCCAAATTGCCATCTGTGGTCCGGTAGGGGGTGGGGACTACTGGATCAGTAGATGTCCCCGGGGTTGCAGGTTCCATGTCCCCCTCGGTGTCTCTCCCTTTGCGGCTCCAGGAGCTGGGGCGGCCGTAGGGTTCAGGATTCTCCTCTCTTAGGGAGCTGAGAGTTCTCTTCATCAGGTCAATAACTTTCTCTAGGATCCAGTCTGAGTACGGTGCCCAGCTTTCTCCCTCTTCACTTGCGTGCAGGGATTTCTCCATCTCCTGCTTCCATTCTGGTTGCTTGGTCCCCCGTCTCAGGGTCACCTTTCTTGATTCTTTTCCCCACTCACTTTTCTTTCCAACGCCCATTGACCAGCGAGGCTTGTGGTCCCGTGTCTTCACCACTTCTTCTCCCGAGGAATCTGACCTCTCAGATCCCAACATCTGGCAAGGTTCCAACTGGGTCAGCGGCTCTCTTTCCAGGGAGTTTTCCCCCTCTCTTGCTCCATTGTCTGACATGGTAAATTTTTGCAAAATCCCCCGGCAAGGGTCTTCCTTCCAGGTGGATTAATTTTGCAAGTCCTGTCTAATGTAAGGACCCACCCCACTGTGCATCTTAAGAAGACAGAACTCTTGGAATAATTCTTCCAACAGGAATCCTTTATTAAGAGAAAATGGTTGTAGGCGTTCTAGACAGGACTTGGGGTCCAAGCTCTCCAATTCAAGGTTTTAAGGGTTTCCCCAGTAGCCCCACCCAATCAACCCCCTCTTTCAGCAACAGTCTCAGGCATTACACTTCCACCCCCCTTTTCATTACTGCTCGGCTGGATGGAGACTTCAAAGAACTACATGAAAGGAAAATGGCCCCATTCTTATGGTTAGTTCTTTTGCAATACACACATTCAGTTCCTTAGAAGTATACTGAAGGAAGTGAGGGCCATAAAGCCCCTTTGTTCTCCCCCTTCTCTCCCTCTTGGTGAAGAGATGAAGCTTAAATGTTACAGGCTAGAAATTCTAATACTGTAGTAAAAAAGACAATGGATTGCACTTTTCTGCCTTACATGAGAAGCTGTACTCGGATTCCTTTATAACTCAGTTATTCACAAGAATTACACTAATATTTAGACAAAGTGGATAGTAGGAAAAATGGATATGAGCATTCATTCACATCTATTAAGTATTAGCCTCCAGTCCTACAAGTATTTACTTGAAATTAAGTTGGGTGGCATGCTGAAGACCATAATCAGTCATGCTCATGGTCCAGAACTAGGAGCAAACAAAAAATAAAAAAGAAGTACAGTATGTAGCTAGAACACATGAAATATCTATTATTATTCTACATTGACCAAGTGTTTCCAAAAAGTCGGAAAGAAAGCAAGAAAGTTCTGACAATATTGCAAACTATGTATCTTTGCTATTATTGCCAAATACTTTTTGGCTAATAAGAGAAATTTTTGCCCACAGACACCTAAAGAATAGCCCGTATATATCAAACCAGATATTTGAAAGGGAAAAGAGTCCTTTCACAGATAAACTTATCAATTCCAGAACAAAGTACAGATACAGCATTCACAAGTCTTACAGATTGGCCTTGATTTTTTGCTTTTGTCAACTTTTTTATCCTAGACTTTATTGATCACTCTTTTCAAGTGGCTTGCTACTTGAGAAAATGACAGTAAAATTGGTTGTCAGTGTTTGGTAAATAAATAGTGAGACAGTGCTGAAGGCAAGGGGTAGGCACAGTAAAGTTTCAATGGGTCTGCATACAGTTTCAATTACTTATCCAATATTTCCTTGGAACATTTCATTATTGATCAGATAACAATAGGGAAGCCCTTCTCTCAATCATTCATGCCCTAATCATCTCCCGTCTGAACTTCTGCAACATGCTGTACATGCAGCTACCTTTGAAAAGTATCTGGAAGCTTCAGCTGGTACAAAATGCAGCCACATGACATGAGCAATTTTAGGTGCCTGAAAGACGGCACATGTTACACTTCTTTGCGCAAGCTGTACTGGGTGCCAGTTTGCTTCCAGGTGTAATTCAAGATGTTGGTGATAACTTTAGCATGTAGTCAGGTCACCCCAGAACTCCCCATCCCATCAGCCCATCCCATCCAGTCAGGCAGGGAAGATATGTTAGACACCCCATCAGTTGAAGAATTTTGATGGGGGGGGTTTACTCCCCATCCCAGAAAATATACTCCCCGCCCCAGGAAAGAAGCAGCACCCCTCCCACTCTCCTGGCCTTTTGGAAGAGTTTGGAGATCTGGCTCTGCTGAATCACACAACCTTGGGGTTAGCTGCCACCTTGAAGACCCTCCACCGCTTTTTTAACTTCAAGTATTCTATTCTTGTTTTAACTGCCTCTTATTGAAATATGACATTTATAGGGTTTTTATCCTTTGAACAATATACCACCCAGAGTTGCTCTGTGAATGAGATGGGTGGATTCTAAATTTGATACATAGCTAAATAAAATTACACTGCACTCAGATTCTAAAAAACCCAAATTGGATCGGGCAACACAGCTGCCCACCCTTGCCTTGCTTCCTTATCTTCTTCCCAACCCTTTGAAGCTCTTGACAAGGCATTTGCACCACATGCAAGTCACTTGTAAAGACAAATTTAGCCTCCAGAGATTCCCAGAGAAGCACAATTGTAAACCAAATTACAGTTTCTAAGGTTTTATAGAAGTGGAGAAGCTTTATAACTGAATTGATATAATTCATACTTACGTATAATTTGGCAATATCTCAAAAATACATCCAATCTATTCTCTTTCTTTTGGTCAACTCAACAGTTTGTAGCGGTTCGTTTTGTCTCTATTGACTCTAGATAATAAGGAATTTTAACTTTCAAAACAAGGTGAGAGTGAATGAGCAATAGGATGTTACTTTGTACCTCTTTGTTAGGATATGTTGTCTTAACTTCTGCAGCCATTTCAACCCCAGCAGAACCGCCACCTACGATAACCACCCGCTCAGCTTTTTCCACCTTTCAAGACCGAAAGGAAAAACAAGATGGAGTCATACTGCGCAGGGTTCCATTACTTTAGATAACACGTGGCTTCAGAGAGGTTATTTCAACAGGAATCCTTTCTCTAACTAGAAAGGGAACTGATACTTAGAAATCTTGGTAGCCTTGATCAAAAAGGTTTTTTCTTCATTCAGGATATATTGTCTATTCTATGTTCAACCAAATTATCCAAAATTCTCAAGGCAAAGGGATATGTTTAACTTGCTCTTTCACACAAATTCTAACTGCAAGCATGATGCTCATCTATATACAAATTAGAATAGATTGCATTAGATTAGAACTGTCTCTATGTAGTCACACAGAGTAATAACATTTCTTAGGTCGTCTTCACTTCCACACACCAGGGAAGCATGCTGATATGATTTAAACCTATATGTACTCAAACAGAATAAAAGCTCAGTGATTTCAGTGCAGCTTACATGGATTACTGTCAGCTGCAAGCAGCCAGAGCCACTCATGAACAACGAAAATCAGTAACTCTATTATTTACCACTTCTATTACAAGAATCTTCCCAGATACTTGTCTTCCCCTGGGAATGACCAGACAAGGCTTCATAGACCTTGCAGGAGGTCAAGCTTATTTCACTTGGAACTGCACAAGGACTCCAAGCTAGGCCCTTGCTTGACCCTTCCTTCTAGCCCGGCTGGCAATTTCTCAACTCCAGCCTCAGTGAATTTTCCAGGCTGAATAAAATTAGACACTGTACATTGGCTTTGGATTGTGTTTCTTTTCCTAGACTTTGTATGGTTTACAGGTAGTCCTCAACTTACAATCACAATTGAACCCAAAATTTCTGTTGTTAAGCAAGACATTTGTTAAATGAGTTTGACCCTATTTGTTACAGTTGTTAACTGAATCACTGCAGTTTTCAAGTTAGTAACTTGGTTGTTAAGTGAATCCGGATTCCGCATTGACTTGGCTTGTCAGAAGGTTGTAAAAATGATCACATGACTCCAGGACACTGCAACTATCATAAATATGAACCAGTTGCCAGACATCTGAATTTTGTTCATGTGACCATAGGGATGAAAAATGGTTGTTAAGTCACTTTTTTTCAATGTTGTAAGTTAGAATGGTCAATAAAGCAAATGGTTGTAAGTCTAGGATTATCTGTATTTTAGTTATTTTTTTTTAGTTTGATGTACATAGCTCAGAGTCATGATTGCATAAGTTGGGTGATTATATACATTTTCTAAGTTGAATGAGACGAGTTGGCTAATTTGAAAGCCCAAGTCATATTTTCTAAAATATAATCCTAAACAAAAAAATTATTGGAATAAATAACAGCTATTATATAAATACCATGGTCCTTGAGAAGTTCACTAATACACATCTCATGGGGGGGGGAAGGCAAGCAAAGAACACCCCTTTCCCTTCTACCAATCACACCCACCTCCTTGACTATGTTCTCATAAGCCTGAATAGCCATCTCCATATTAATAAGTTGATTAAACTTCCCAGGAAAAGGCCCTTCACTCCCAGTGGCGAGGATCAGATGAGAAAATGAAAGCACCTAAGAAAGAATATGAGAATGAAGTTACAGTTGTTGTGTAACTCTTTCACAATTAACACGTTTAATTCAGAGGTACTCACTTTATCATCATTCAGTAGGACCTGATGTTTCTGCAAATTGATCTCAACTACTTTGCCCTGCTGGAAACTCTCTTTGAAGGTCTCAGAGAAGGAGATAAAGGTTTTTTTTGCAAATCCTATAAAATTATGCAGAAAAAATTGAATCAATAGTAATTATTAAAGAGTAGCGAGTCAAAAACCTCCACAAAACTTTTAATACATCTAAAGTCTGCAGATTCTCAAGTTCTCATCTCCTACATCTCATCAATTAGTGATGTGGAAATAATACCACACAAACACTTTTAATGAGAAATTGTATCGGCATTTATTTGCATTTAACCATTTATGCTACACCTTTCAAGGCGTAAATAAAATCAGAGTAAAATGACTAACCCTGTGTGCCCCACCTAGATAACTTCTTCTGGTTCCTACTAATGGTATAAGTATTCTCATTTAAGAACCGCTGGTCCAATCTACACAAATAAAAGGGCCTTTTGCTACTTTAGTTTGCCTTCATGTTTCCTTTGTTTCCCCCAACATTTGAGAACCATCAAATCTATCCAATGAAGTCGGAGGTCACCCAACTGCTCCTAAAACAAGCTTTTCACCAGTTGGTGTCTTCCAGATCTCTGGGATTACAGCCATATTAGAGACAAAGGAGGTTCTAATTCAATATATCTAGAGTAGACCAGGGGTCTTCCAATTTGGCCACTTTAAGATTTGTGGACTTCAACTCCCAGAATTCCTCAGCCAGCCAGGGCTGGCTGAGGAATTCTGGAAGTTGAAGTCCACAAGTCTTAAAGTAGCCAAGTTGGAAGACCCCTGATCTAGACGGTCCGACATTGGGAGAAGACATGAAGAAATGAAGGGAATCCCAAGACGACAGGTTACCACTCTGTACGGAAGCCCGCAGAGCAGCCACATTGTGGTGGAAGGAGTCTCTCATGTCGACGAGGACGAAGGGGATCCCCCAATCCCGCAGGAGGCGGGCAGCTTCCATCCCTCCGAAGCCTCCTCCAACTATGACGACGCGGACAGAGTCATCCACGGAGAGCTTCGATCCCATCCCGAATCACGCAGCAGCACCTGAACGAGAAGGAAAGAGACCGAGATGTGGGATCGTCGTTTAGGGGCGCCTTCTAGCTGACCTGGCCATTGGCTCAGTTTACTCCTGCAAGAACCCTAGCATGGCTAGCTTGGATTTCCCCTCCATCGTGAGGTTTGGGGGAGGGGGGGGGCTGAGGGTCTGGGCGTGGCACCAAACCAACCCACCGCGGTTCACTGAAGAAACGAGAGCCGAGGAGGCGTACCGCCCGACCGCGCGGGTCAAGCCAGGACTTTTCCCAATCGCAAGACGGGGCTCTCAATCAGACCTGCTTTCCAGCGCGTTTCTCTCCAGGATGCTCTGCGGGGGGAAAGCGCGATTCTCCAGGCGAATCTTGGGCTGAAGAAACGCAGCCCGTCGAGAAGAAAAGCTGCGTCTCCAAAGGAAGAAGCGCGCAGGATTCCTCCGAAGTCGTCGCTTTCCCCAGTGCGGAACAGGAGCGACCAAAGCGCTCTACGAGGCAGCTTCCGGGAATGACTCGCGGAAAGTTGGAGAGGCTGATCTTATTATTATTCTTTTCGCCCCGTTGAGGAAGCCGCCAAGGCAAAGGGCTTTATTATGTGGTTATCTATCTTGGGTGATGGCGCAACCTCTCTTTGTTGCCCCGTGGCGGTCGCCTCAGGAATTGCAGCCTCGATGCGAGAACCCTACGCGAAGAAAGTGGGTTGTCCTCAGAAATGCGAATAATAAGAGAAAGGTCAGAATCCGGTGCCATGTACAGGTAAACCTATGTGGATGTATTTTCATCTTTTAAATCAGGGTTCCTCAACCTTGGCAACTTTAAGACTTGTGGACTTCAACTCCTAGAATTCCTCAGCCTTCTGGAAGTTGGCCCACAAGCCTTAAAGTTGCCAAGGCTGAGGAACCCTGTTTTAAACAATTTATTCTAATTATGTACATCGCAGGCAGGAATGCTAGGGGCAAAAGGTAGAAGAAACACCTGTGATTTGTCTGTCAGTTTTTAGTTCTAACATGATCTTGTTTAAATGGCATGGAGCTTTCCCTGTAGTTAAAAATAATAATGATTTGCCATGTATAACAATTTGTCAACTATCATATTCTGTACAAATTCATTGACCTGTTTTAGCTTTCTCACTAAGGAAGATGCGTTTTGCCCTTCCAGTTTTTTTTACATCCGAAGTTTCTGTCCCAGTTGTGCTCTAAAGGGGGTAAGTTCAAACATAAGTAAAAATAAATCAGGTTAAAATTTAAAGGAATGTCTCCAGGCCACCAGCCATCCCCAGGGCTGCAACAGACTTTTAAATATTGTGTGTTATTGTAACAGCATGACTTTGCTTGTTCTGCAAGCAGGAAAGGCCAGAATCAGTTTATTGTCTTTATGTCTGAGTAACAATATCAAATATCTGGAGAAGTGCTACTTACACGGCAGTTTGACCCCGCTTATGTATGAGATGAAAAAAATGCCCTGCTCCAAAGCAAGCTGTCCCATATAGACTTGTCACCTACCCCCAGCTTTCCGTGAAGTTCACAAAGTTTATAGTATATCCCAGGGGTGCCTTGCTGAGGAATTCTGGGAGTTGAAGTCCACAAGTCATAAAAGGGCCAAGTTTGAAGACTCTTGGGATATATCATATAATACTGCTACTTTGCTAATCTTCTTTGTATCATTCCAATTTTAGTACAATTGCTGCCCAAACGAGGACGTAATACTACTACTTTGGAGAGGGTTCTAAAAGCCAAATAGAGACTGTTTCTGGCTGATTAAAATCTGGCCTCTTATAACAACAACAACAACAACAACTATTACTACTACTACTACTACTATTATTATTATTATTTGTCTGAAATGCTATAGGGCAGACGTGTCAAACACAAGGCCTGGGGGCCGGATGCGGCCTGTGAAGTGGTTTCATGTGGCCTGCGAAGCCATCCTGGAAACAGTAGGGAACGGCTCCCACTGCCTTGGCCCTGGCCCAGGCCGGCCGGGAGCCAATGTACAATTTTGTGGTGGCCATCTATGTTGAAACGCATTCAGTCTTAGCTCCACAAGGCCATCTGGAAACAGTGAGGAACCAGCCCCTGCTGCGTCGGCCCCACCCTCTGGGTGCATGCTGGGGAGATGTCACCCTTTGTGAGGAATGAAGAAATGGACCATCGCCTGGAAGTGGCCAGCAAGTGGCCCTCACCTACTTCACATAGTGGGCTTGATCGGCTCTGGGGGAGGGGTTTCAGCGGGCAGTGGGGCGCTCTCCTCACAGCACCGAGAGGCTGAGCTGGGCAGCACAAATCCCAAAAGAAACGCAAGGCCACTAGGGGATGGTGAAAGGGCAGCAGGGCAGGACTAAGGCAGGACGTCCCTCAGACCCTCCCTCTCTTTTCCTTTCTTCCTTCCTAAGTACAGAGTGGTGGGAAAATATTTGAGATGAGGGAGGGAGAAAAACAGGCAAGAAATGCAGCTGGGGAAGTGTCACCCTTCGTGAGGAATGAAGAAATGCACCATTACCTGGAAGCGGCCAGCACGTGGCCCTCACCTACTTCACATGGAGGGCTTTGGGGGAGGGGATGCCATGAACAGCATGAGAATCGTTACCTACGCAATGCCGTACAGCCCCCAGCCTGTCTGGTTTCGGTAGGCAGCGAGGCACTCTCCTCACAGCGCCGAGAGACTGAGCCAGGCGGCGTGAATATGAAAAGAAGCGTGATGCCACCCAGCCCCCAGCCTGCCCGATTTCAGCAGGCAGTGGGGCGCTCTCCTTACAGTGCCAAGAGCTGAGCCAGGTGGCGCGAATCTGATGAGAAGTGCAATGCTGCCTAGCCCCCAGCCTGCCCAGTTTCAGCAGGCAGCAGGGTGCAAAGCTGGCGAACTTTGCACCGCCTGGCTCAACCTGTTGGCACTGTGAGGAAAGCGCCCCGCTGCCTGCCGAAACCGGGCAGGCTGGGGGCTGGGTGGCATCACACTTCTTTTCAGATTCACACCGCCTGGCTCACTCTCTCGGCGCTGTGAGGAGAGTGCCTCGCTGCCTACCGAAACCAAGCAGGCTGGGGGCTGGACGGCATTGCACAGGTAACGATTCTCACGCTGTTCATGGTATCCCCTCCCCCAGAGCCCTCCAAGCCAGATATGTGAAGTAGGTGAGGGCCATGTGCTGGCCACTTCCAGGCGATGGTGCATTTCTTCATTCCTCACGAAGGGTGACACCTCCACAGCTGCGTTTCTTGCCTGTTTTTCTCTCTCCCTCATCTCAAATATTTTCCACCACTCTATACTTAGGAACGAAGGAAAGAAGGAGAGGGAGGGTCTGAGGGAAGTCCTGCCTTAGTCCTGCTCTGCTGCCCTTTCACCATCCCCTTGCCCCCTCCTCCTGGCCTATCCTGGGGGTCTCCCATCCTATTGCTAAGGAAGCTTTGGATACAAAGCCGGGTCTCCTCCCAAGGAGAGGGAATGGGCCTCCCTCTGACTTTGCCCTCATACCCATCAAGAGCAACCTGGCTAAGGAGAGCAAGCACAGCAGCAGCAGCCTTGAGGAGGAGGTAAGTGCAGCTGGATGCCCCCTTGGGGAAGTGGGGCTGGGTTTGGTGCTGTGGGGCCAGGCTGGGCATTTGACCTCTACTGTCCAGGGCTCCCGGAAGCCCGCACCACCATCAAGCCCCCCCCCCGCATAGCCTGAGGAACAGTGAGATTCCTCCAGTGGACCATGCCTTGGCACTTGCCCTGGTCCCCACCCCCTTCTGCCCCTCAGATCTGTCCCACTCCTGCCCAATCCCCCACAGGCACCCTTGATGTGAATGATGCAGAGCTGGCCATGCCCACCCAGTAGCCACACCCACTCCATCCACGCCCACCCAGTAGGCCGCACCCACCCTGGCCACACCCACCCGGCTCCCTGAGGGCAACCGCAATAGTGATGTGGCCCTCAATGAAATTGAGTTTGACACCCCTGGTATAGGGTTTCCTGCCTGAGCAGGGGGTTGGACTAGATGACTTCTAAGATCCCTTCCAACTTTATTACAATTACAATGTTACAAAAACTGCACTACTTGGAACATCTTATATTTTAAGGCGGTACTTGATTGACACCTAGGATGCTGGTATCAACCCGTGTCAACTATCAGCGCCAGCCAATTTGAATGTTCAGTTGACTGAGGATCATGTTTAATGAATAAAAGCTAATAATAATAATAATAATAATAATAATAATAATAATAATAATAAAATAAAAAAAGTTGGAAGGAACTTGGGGGTCATCTAGTCCAAACCCCTGCTCAAGCAAGAAACCCTATACCATTTCAGACAAATGGCTGTTCAGTCTCTTCTTAAAAACTTCCAGTGTTGGAGCATTCAGGGCTTCTGGAGGCAGGTTGTTCCACTGATTAATTGTTCTAACTGTCAGAAAATTTCTCCTTAGTTTTTTGCATCATGTAGCCTTGTTGCTTTTTTAACTCTGAGTATTTAGATTTGGGAGAAAGTAAGTTCATCCACAAGGGCAGATCAACAAAGATTAAGCAATAAATACACAAATATATTGCCCATCAACAGGAAAAAAAGTGCAATCCTAATAGAGCAGTGTTTCTCAACTTTGACAATTTTAAGGCATGTGGACTTCAACTCCCAGAATTCCACAGCCAGCAATGCTGGCTGTGGAATTCTAGGAGATGAAGTCCACATGCCTTAAAATTGTCAAGATTGAGAAATACTGTAATAGAGAATTAGCAAGCATTTGGGAAGCAGGAAAAAAAACACTAAGGAATTTCCATCCTAAAGGAGTTTACATCCCAAAGGCCACTGTTTACAGGTAGTACTTGACTTATGACTGGTCACTTGATGACTGTTTGAAGTTTTGATGGACTCAAAGAAAATTATTTATGACATGTCCTCAAAGTTACGACTGCTGCACCACTTCTGTGATCACATGATCACATTTTGGGTGCTTGGCAACTGGCTCACATTGATGACCTGTTGCAGTATCCTGCAGTTAAGTGATTGCATTTTGCAATTTATTTTTTTCTATTTGCCAGCAAAACATGGCAAAAATGCCCATTGGATAAGCTGGATTCAGACTTACAGCCATGTGAATGACTTAACAATTGTAATGACTCACTTATCCACCATCGTAAAATGGTTGCAAAATCAAACCTGATCACATGATGACTGCAATTTACTACCAAAATTCTGGGCTCTACTGTGGTCATAAATTGAGGACTACCTGTAATGAGCTGATAAAACTCATTGGCTAGATCAGGGGAACCTTGGCTCTTTTATGACTTGTGGACCAACTCACAGAATTCCTGAGCCAGCTGACACAGGAATTCTGGGAGTTGAAGTCCACAAATCATAAAAGAACCAAGGTTCCCCACTCCTGGGCTAGATAATTACATCAATGTCAGGGACTCCATTGCATTATTCAAGCCCCTTCGCCCTATACTCTGTATGTATGGAAGTGAAACCACAATCACGTTTATGGCTAGGAGCCATTCCAGAAGGCACAGAAAAACTGGGGAGTCTCCTAAACACCTTCATAGACCATCAAATCTTTCAGAGCCCTTGATTTGACTCCTCCCTTCAAAGTGGGTTCCTCCTTTGATTTACAAATCATCCTCAGTGAGATTATTCGGTCACAGTTTATTTGATTCCCAAGCATTCTTTTGAGTTGTTCTTTCCATGGCATCTATAGGAGATGGAAGAAGCTGATTATCAGCTTACAGAAAAGGGAGGGGAGCATACTAGTCTCCTAAGGTCCCACCTGGAGAGTTTTCAGGCTATTCTTCCCAGACTGCCCGTGCCTTCCAAAACATAATAGACGATCAGGATGGTCTTTTCCATTTAGAGGAGACAGAGGTTAATCTTGTCTCCTACAGACCTCCCGACTTATCCTGGCTTTCTCCAATGACAATTATTCAAGTCAACCATAGCCTCTTCAATCATATCAAAATGTCAGAATCCAATTATATTTCATCTTTAAATTTCAAATATAGAAACTCCCAATTCTGCCTTCTCTGGATTCTGCCATAGAGGGAGAGAAGGGGGAGAACAAAGGGGCTTTATGGCCCTCACTTCCTTCTTTACACTTCAAAGAGCTAAATGCTGAATGTGTGTTTATTGTAACCTCGAAGTGTTAGCATACCAAAGGAGAGTAATTGCCTTTCATGTAGTTATCTGAAGTCTCCATCCAGACGGAAGAAAGAAGAAAGGGAGTGGAATTGTGATACTTGAAACTATCACTGGAAGGGGGGTTGATTGGGTGGGACTACTGGGGAACCCCTTAAAACCTTGAATGGGAGAGCTTGGACCCCAAGTCCTGTCTAGCATGCCTGCAACCATTTTCTCTTAATAAAGGATTCCTGTTGGAA